ATCTGAGATCGGCTCAATTTGAGAAAGGGGAAAACATTTAACCAGATTTTTTTTTAAAACCACTGGGTGAATTTTTATCATTATAGGGTGGTTGTGTACACACACTGCCAACACACATTTCAGTTCAAACAACTTGTAAAAGTGCATGTAGCATCCTATGACCCCTTTAAGGATATTAATTGGATATTTTCACTGCACTGAAAATAATTGGTGTAGGATTTACTTTGAAACAATTGTCACTCAGAAATTGCTAGTAAATTTCACAAATAATAACAAATAAACTTTACATTTGGAAGAAGAAAGATTGAAATAGTATTTTCTTGTAAAACATAATCTTTGTTTTATTTACAACTTCAGAAAAATCATATTTTACAATGTGGAAAACCAAAAAATATATATACAGTACAGATTATGAAAATCACATAACAATATGCCTGAGTCTGTGAGATTTTTTTACATTTAGTGCAGGACTCGTGTTGATATACGTCTGTTATCTTTGAGGGTCTTTTGGAGGTCTTTCTGTGATCGTGGATTAAAGGTCACTGGCAGAAGCTTTTCATTTTTCCTTAGATTCTTCACCAGACAACATGTTTGTTTTCACTGCCTCCAAAATCTGATTAAACTGACAAGAGCTTTGAGCTCTGAGAAGAGTCCTGTAGAGGCCATAAGTCTGAGATCAAATGGAAACTGACATCATCTAAATGAGGTTTAAGTTCACGACCTGTAACCACAAAGTCAACCCTGCATGAGTGCCATGCCGCCCACAAACCAATATTGGCATCCAACACAAGATTTATCACTAACCATTAGGGAATGGTTAGTGATTACTAACCATTAGGGAAGTCGACTCTAACCATTAGGGAAGTCGTGGCCTAATGGTTAGAGAGTCGGACTTGTAAACCAAAGGTTGTGGGTTCGAATCCCGTACCGGCAGGGATTGTAGGTGGGGGGAGTGAATGTACAGCGCTCTCTCCCACCTTCAATACCTCGACTGAGGTGCCCTTGAGCAAGGCACCGAACCCCCAACTGCTCCCTGGGTGCTGCAGCAAAAAAAATGGCTGCCCACTGCTCCGGGTGTGTGTTCACGGTGTGTGTGTTCACTGCTGTGTGTGTGCACTTTGGATGGGATAAATGCAGAGCACTAATTCCTAGTATGGGTCACCACATGTCACGTCACTTCACTTCACTAAGGCAAGCATCAGGTTTCTGAACCACATTTTGTTGGTGCTGCAGATAAAAATGATTTAATGGCAATTTCTCACACTTGTATTGCCAATGAATTAAACAACTATCAGTTTCCTCCATGCTTTAGCGGTCACATTAGATCTATATGCAGCAAATTAAATAAATGATAAGCAGCAAAGGAATACAACATTCAGTATCAGATTCACTTGAGAGGGATCTTCTTCCCCACTCTGGATTGCTCATAATGAATTTAAACCACATGCACATTTCATTTTCCATTACACAGAGTGTTACGACCAGTGGGGGTCTCTGAAAGGAGCCATCAGTATCTGTCTCGCTGTAATCGTGCGCATCTGCAAAGCACGTTTAGAATGCAAATGATCTTTTAAACAAAGCCACAGATGCATTAAGTCCAAAAGAAATCCTTAATTTAATCTATTTCCTATTTTCGGGTGTGATTAGAGAGGATATTCCAAAACTATCAATATTGGATGCAATGTGGATCAGGTTTGTGTGCAAGGGAAAGGAAATTTATCTCAGTGTGTTAAACAAATTAAAGATGCACTCCGTGAGAAAACAAACTAAATTTGCGATCAACAAAACAACATTTTGTGATGTTTATGCTTAAAACAAGAAGAAAACAATTCGCCAGTGGGCTAAGAAAAATAAAAAATCATTCAAGATATAGAGCAAAACTGGCCTAAAACTATTATTAAAAAACTATTTAAACATTGAAAAAAAATGTCATTGAATAATTTTTCTCAGAAATTGCTAGTAAATTTCACAAACAATTACAAAAAAAGCCAAGTAACACATTGTATTAAACATGAAATTTTGAAGTTTAAAAACTGAAATAGTATTTTCCTTACTTATTTACAACTTTGACAAATCTTTTTTTACAGTGTATATTTACATATTTCATTAATATATATATATATATATATATATGAAAGATTGTTTTCTTTCACTGTCTCCAAAATCTGATTAAACCGACAAGACCTTTGAGCACTGAGAAGAGTCCCGTAGAGGCCATAAGTCTGAGATCAAACGGAAACTGACATCACCTAAATGGGGTTTAAGTTCACGACCTGTAACCATAAAGTCAACCAATGGCCACAAACCAATACTGGCATCCAACACAAGATTTATCACCAAGGCAAGCATCACTATTGCTCACACTTAGGTTTATGGGTTTCTAAACCACATTGTGTTGGTGCTATAATATTTGCAATGACAGTTATCACTATTAATATTTCTCATATTTGTATTGCGCATAAATAAAACAACTGTCAGTATCCTCCATGCTTTATAAGGCACATTAGATCATGCAGCAGCCTCAAATGAAATAAATGACACGCAACAAAGGAATACAACATTCAGTCTCAGATATACTCGAGAAGTATCTTCTTCTCCACTCTGGATTGCTCATAATGAATTTAAACCACATGCACATTTCATTTTCCATTACACAGAGTGTTACGACCAGTGGGGGTCTCTGAAAGGAGCCATCAGTATCTGTCTCGCTGTAATCGTGCGCATCTGCAAAGCACGTTTAGAATGCAAATGATCTTTTAAACAAAGCCACAGATGCATTAAGTCCAAAAGAAATCCTTAATTTAATCTATTTCCTATTTTCGGGTGTGATTAGAGAGGATATTCCAAAACTATCAATATTGGATGCAATGTGGATCAGGTTTGTGTGCAAGGGAAAGGAAATTTATCTCAGTGTGTTAAACAAATTAAAGATGCACTCCGTGAGAAAACAAACTAAATTTGCGATCAACAAAACAACATTTTGTGATGTTTATGCTTAAAACAAGAAGAAAACAATTCGCCAGTGGGCTAAGAAAAATAAAAAATCATTCAAGATATAGAGCAAAACTGGCCTAAAACTATTATTAAAAAACTATTTAAACATTGAAAAAAAATGTCATTGAATAATTTTTCTCAGAAATTGCTAGTAAATTTCACAAACAATTACAAAAAAAGCCAAGTAACACATTGTATTAAACATGAAATTTTGAAGTTTCAAAACTGAAATAGTATTTTCCTTACTTATTTACAACTTTGACAAATCTTTTTTTACAGTGTATATTTACATATTTCATTAATATATATATATATATATATATATGAAAGATTGTTTTTCAGTACATGGTCTGTGAGAGGTGCTTTACCTTCACAAAATGTTGATTATCAACCTCAGGAAGTCAAACTAAATATTATATGAACTATAAAAAAATAAAGATAAAATAAACAAAATTGTGAAATATCATAAAAAAATGAATGAATGAATGAATGAATGAAGAGTAGCACATTTAGCTTAAATTAATCTGTCGTGGATATTTATATATTTTTATTGGAAACCCAGACAAAAGTTCAAGGTAACACTATCTTGTATGAACAATGTCCTTTATCAGAAACGTCCTCTATATGAACAATGCATTTTATTTTGAAAAATGATATCTACGGATATTGTGCAAATAAACATGGTTATTTATGGAATAAAACAATCCAGTAGATAATGGCAAGTCATGTTCTTGACAATTCACCTGAATGCTGAATGTTGGCCAAAAGAGACATCAAAGTCCTCAACATGTGACAGAATCCACCCAGTAACAACAGTTACACTTTCAGAAAAAAAGGTACAAAAGCTGTCACTGGGACAGACCCTTTCAAAAGATACACCTTTGTACCTTCTTTACCACTAAGGGGTGTATTTTAGTACCATAATGATACATACTTGTACTTAAAGTGTACATATTAATACCTCCCTATTAGTACCTTTTGCAAAAGGTACCGGCTCAGTGACAGCTTTTGTACCTTTTTTTCTGAGAGTGTATGGACAACTCTTGCCGACACTCTTTAAAAGTGAGATCAGTAAACAATAATAAATCTGTCATCAGAATCACCATGAAAAGACTACTAAGGGAGCAGCTGAAATGTGAACAAAGTTTGTCGGTCATGGTTGTTGAAGAAAGTGTGAACAGTGCTAAACACTGGAATATTTTTCTCTTGGTTTTACTGACAGTATTCCGATTGGTTGGCTATTAGTTATTCCAAAAGTGTAGCATATCAAATGTTTGCAAGCACACACCATGTTTGATGTCATATGTAGTCCGTCTACTCCTACTCCAAGAATATGAGGCAAGCTTACACAGCGTCTTGTAGCTTATCCAGAGCCACCAGCCCTGACACCTTCATGTAAAGAAACTGTCGTCGACAGACACAGTTGAATAAACCTGTTAAATGATACACACAGACCATGTTAACATGGCTCTCTACAGTTCTGTTCTTATAGAGGAATGTCTAGTGTAAACCAACTGAAGGCCCTGTGCACACTAGCTGTTTGCCCTCAGAAGACTCAGTATGTGTTAATGCAGCCCTGACGTGAGGAAAAGCAGAGCCGAATGGAAAAACGCCAAGGGTTCATGTTTGTGTTGATAACTTCCAGTTGTATTTATCCACATAAGACTGTGAAATTGTTATGAAAATAATAATAACAAAAAAATGAATGGTCTGAATAACAGTAACTGAGAATGCTAGTAGTATTACTACTACTATTATTATTATTATTAAGTAATTCAAACACTAATAATTTCACTTTTTTTGTTTTTGAATGCAATATGATCCAGACACTTTCACATTTATTTATTTGTAAATAAATAAAGAGACATTTATTTTAATGTCTCATCCTACTCAGTCAGTCACGTTTCATAAAATCAAACAAATCCTATTGAATCTGCTTCCATCTAGGGGTCGTGTGTAATAATTACAGTTTGTTTGTTTTGTTTTGTTTTTCGTCATTTTACGCCAGTACACATTTCTTTACGGTAAGTGTCCAGTAGTAGCAGGCATGGAGACTGCAGCAGCAGCAGACGCAAGCGATGGCGCTTCATGTGAAAGTGATCAATGTAAAGAAGATGGAGATACACCGAGGCAGAGTTCATCTAACGAACAGAACACAGAACCGAAACCGGTGTGTCTCATAGTTTTAGGCATGGCAGGGTCAGGAAAAACAACTTTTGTGCAGGTAAGACTGACTGACTGTAACACAGCAGTAAAATGATATCACAATTTTCCAATTCAATAACATTCACTTTATTATAATAAGATTCTAAGTAATTCTGATAAGAAAGTCAAATTATGACTGATTATAAAGAAATCCCAAACACATTAACTTGAATTAATTTATGATGGGCTATAATTGTTTACATAATAATTTATATAATATATATAATTTCTTGTTCCACCAGAGGCTCACAGTTTACCTGCACTCCAAGAAAAGTCCTCCATATGTTATCAATCTAGATCCTGCAGTTCATGAGGTCCCTTTTCCAGCCAACATTGGTACGTTATGTCACTGTTACTATTTTTCCAGTAAAAGAGCTGTGTTACACGCTGCATGAAAGGTACATTTAAAAACTCCATAATAGGAGCATTTTAAAAACAAATGTAAAAATCCAAACTAATTTAATTCATAATTTTAGTGATTTTACAAGTTGCTCTTGCCAGTTTACGCATGTTTTTTGTGTTTGTTAGAATAAAATAAAAATATAAAATTCAAAATCTAAGATAAAAGTGATTTTAAAACCCAACTGAGTTGCAGTGGCAGAGCTTTTATGCAGGGGGTGGCCAAGGCTAATTCAGGGGGTCCATAGACCATGACAGAAAATCAGTGTATAACTCCAACCTGGCATAAAAAAAGCATGAATAAATCCTACAATTGCTGATTACTTCACATTACCCCACATTAGCTATACATTCCTACCGTAATTTCAAATGTTAGTATTTTGGAACTTATTTCTCCTATTTCTGTCATCTGATTAACCAGCGGTTGGAGCAAAAGATCTAACATTAACTTATGCAGTGAATTTTGTAAATGTTGTTCAGGAATCCTAAAACTTCAGCTTACTTCAAACAGGGCTGCCAACTTATGAGTTCAGCCTGGAGTGAGAATTATTCCGGAATAATTAACACACTTGCGATTAAGTACATGTTATTTTTTTCTCAATTTTTCTAAACTAAACTATACAGGGAGCCCTATTGTTAAGGTTAAAAGTAACAATTGATTTGTATACAAGTTCATATTAGGCCATTTTTATAATAATGTTATATCTATATATTTGTATTCATTATAATACAAGAGTTATTATATGAGAAAATTTAATAAATGTATTTTTTGCTAAATTCTCCTGTCTAGTGTACATTTTTCTTGCTAGTTTATGGACACTGAATGGATTTTCTGAGGTTATGTGACAATGTTTTCAAGCTGCTGTCTTTCCGTGGTTGAAACACTCATTCACATGAGACACTATACGTTCAGTAGTGTATCTTTCAACACACCCTCAGATGTTCATGCATGTTTATTTCATGCTAATTGAAGCGCTCATGAACTGTCACGCCACTAAAGAGCTCCAAAATTCATAATAAAACTAACAGAATTTGAATGCTGAGACTTTGTTTCCTATTATCAAAAATAACCTGCTCTGTCTTGTCTCTCAGTGTGTTGTCTGTGTCCTCTTTGCTCTGCAATGTTTTTCACTCGGTTGGTAGAAAATGAAATCTAAATTATATATAATAAAGCATCATTATTATTAGCATTATATTATATTTAATAAAGCATATTAAATTTTGAGGGTGCACCCAGGGTGGCCAATCAGACCCTGGACACCCCTCTGGCTCTGCCACTGCTGAGTTAGAGAATAATTATGGACAGATTTGGAAAATAATGTTTATGCGTCTTGAAGTTTTGAGAACATTCCAGAGTAGTTTGACTGCACTGCCTTTATGCCAGCACAATCTGCTTTTGATAGAACAGATTGAGCACTGGAACCAGCACCGTGTGAGTTTCGCTCAGGGTTATTTTACTGATTAAAACACTGGACAAAAAGACATCTTTGGTTTTTATTGTGGATACATGTTCATGATTGGTAAACATCTTGTTGATTACATTAATGTCAAAGATCATGTCTTAGTGTGTTTTTCCTTACAGATATCAGAGACACTGTCAATTACAAGGAAGTCATGAAACAGTATCCTTTCAGTGTGAAATTATGTGTCTTGTGCTGCGAATCATAATTGTCATGCATATAGCCACCAGGCATGAAATGTTATTTGGATAGTTTGACTAAACATGAACCTTCACTTTACAACAGATTTAAGCTTCTTCAAAGCCCACTGTCATAGAAAACTTGAAATATCAGGGACTTGTAAGATTATGATTTTCAGGCCTGGACAAGTTACATATATTAAAATATTAAAAATGCATGGAAATTTCCATAGTGAGTTTATATTATTATTATTTTTATTATTTTTTAAGTAATGCAGTTATGCTCAGCTTTCATATTATTTTAGATAGACATTACTTTTAGTGAGTTGATTCTCTATGAAATCATTATCCAGTGAATCACAAATGACTGAAAACTGGTTTAATTTAATTTCATCTGAGCAGGTTGTCTTTGACTCTCATACAGATATGGTTTAGGTCCAAATGGAGGAATCGTCACATCTCTCAATCTGTTTTCAACACGATTTGATCAGGTATTGCACTTGAAAAATCCAATAGATGTCACTGTTTTACACTTTTACGTCCACATACTTCTCTCTCTCTCTCCTCTGTTAGGTCATGAAGTTTATTGAGAAAAAGCAAAGTAACCACCAGTAAGTTTGTGTTCAGTAGATTTGGTGATATCCATATATTTTGCTCATTGCTACAGTCTCATGCATGAAATATTCTTGTTTGCAGATATGTTTTGATTGACACTCCTGGGCAAATAGAGGTGTTCACATGGTCTGCATCTGGAACCATCATAACTGAAGCACTGGTATGTGACCGTTACTCTTAGCCGTGATTATTTATACTGCGGATTTGCATTGCTTCATTTGGAGTATAAAACATTATAAAGTTTCCTTTCTAGGCCTCTTCTTTTCCCTGTGTGGTTATTTATGTGATGGACACATCTCGAAGTGTAAATCCGGTCACCTTTATGTCCAACATGCTCTACGCCTGCAGGTCAGTGTCTGAGACTTGTTTTTTATTTCTTGTTTAAGCAATATTTTGGAAATAAAAACTGCACAAAACATTTTCATGTTGTTTTCAACTTCTTAGTGTTACATTCACACTGTATAATTCAGTGTTAACAGCAGAATGAAAGTTATGTCATGATTTCAGTAGATCTTGCCAAAATATCTTGTTTTTTTTTTTCTACAGCATTCTCTACAAGACCAAGCTACCTTTCATAGTCGTCATGAACAAGGTAAAAATAATACTGTCAAAACTGTCATGCTAATTTTTAATGGTCAACTGATAACTGATGTATACATTTGATGATACATACTGTACAAGCAAATTAGATGTATGCAGTATTTCTTAAATAAATTAAGTTATTTTATTCATATTAATTTTAAAACAATATCAATAAAAAACAATTATAAATAAATATAAAAAAAGATATTTAATAGGCAAATTATGTTTATTGGTATTTATTATTCACATATTAAATATATGCATTATACTTTATCTATATCTTTAACACCAAGCATTTCTGCAGACTCTGTTGATCTTCTCCTTGATTCCTTTAACTCAAAAGTTAAGAATGTTATTGATGACATTGCTCCTTTGAAAGTCAGCAAGAAGACTGGCAGACAGAAATCAGCTTGGAGAAAATCAACAGCAGTTCAGAGTATGAAAAGACAATGCAGAAAAGCTGAGCGGATGTGGCGGAAGACGAAACTTGAAATCCACTATAGCATATATAAAGACAGCCTTTGTGCTTTCAATGTGGAACTAGGTAAAGCTTAGACAGTCATTCTTCTCAAACCTTATATGTATGAAATGTGCTATATAAATAAACTTGCCTTGCCTTACTATTTATATTATTATTGAATTTATATGAATACAGTTTCCGTTCAGAAGATTAAACAGCAGATATTATCCTTTAATAAGGCCTTTGGTGGATAATGCAATCTCATCTCCTATGAGCATGTTTTTAGTTTTAAATGGAACAAATCAGTGTAAGCCATTTGTTTCATCATGTTAAACTGTTCTACGCAACATGTATTTTTCTGTATCTTTATCAGACCGACATCATTGATCACAGTTTTGCGGTGGAGTGGATGCAGGACTTTGAGGTGTTTCAGGACGCTTTGAATCAGGAGACGTCCTACGTTAGTAACCTGACCCGCTCTATGAGTCTCGTTCTTGATGAGTTCTACACCAACCTGAGGGTGAGTCTAAAGCTCTGGTGCAGTTAAACTGCATTCAGTGCTGGGTAGATTACTTACAAATTGTAATCCGTTACTGATTACAAATTACATGACAAAAATTGTAGTTAGTAACGTAATCTATTACATTACACATTTTAGGTACTGTAATCAGACTACTTTTTGATTACTTTTAGATTACTTTTGACCAAATTCATTTATCACATTGATTTAAATACAGGGTGTCCGCGGGTCCTTAAAAAGTCTTAAAATGTCTTAAATACCGTTTTCCTAATATAAGGCCTTAAAAAGTCTTAAAGGGGTCATATGATGCGATTTCAAATGCGCAAAACTCCGCATTTGAACAGTCAATAGCAAATACTACAGGGAAGAGTTTCTTTTTTCTCTCCAAAAATTACCATATACAAATGTAATATTGTAATATTTTTTTACAACAGTTCAATAAACTAGAAGTTTTATTAAGAGACTTATGTTTTAGACACCATATTTCGCCAACAAAAAGAATTCCAAACAAAGCCACAGCGCTGTTTTGCGTCTCTGAGCAAAATCAACCGTTTAAATGATTCGGTTCATTCACAATAACTCACTTAACAGTGACTTGCTGCCACTTACTGGAGGATTTAATTTCACATTTAAAGTATCTTTTAATTTTTAAAATAATTTAAATATCACTATTCAACATTTCATGTTTAAAATACATTCAAAACACCTACAGAGTGCACGCATTACGTGAAGTCTTTTGCGCTCTTTCACTGCATGATTCAATTTCAGTCTATTAAAATACATTCAGAATGATCACAAATTCAAGACATGGGGGCAGAAAATGTGTATATTTATTAAGTCCTTAAGATACCAGCATAATAACGCACTCAATCAGTTGAATCAATGACTCAATGACTCACTCATTAAGTGACTTACCGCCACTTACTGGTAGTTTAGTTGAGAAGTATGTTGAAAAATATGCATTTTTCCCCTAAAAATTTCTTATTTGTATATTCATAAATGCATTTAAAACATTAATCTCATAACATTATTTATTGCAGTTGTAATTATTGTTATTTGCAGTGTAAATTATTTAATCTGACTGGTAGCAGCCCTATAGTGTATATTGAATTTATTGATAAATTGTAATAAATTGACATGAAAGATGATGCATACATCTAAAAAGGTTAAAAAATATGCCTTTGTAAAGGTAAATATGCAGATTTAAGTATGTAAAAGCTGATAGAACACTGATGAAAATATTGCTTCAGAATAAATGATTTACTCCATCAAAAATCTCAGTGATGCAGTTATTTTGCAGGGATATTCTGTATGGAATATTGTCTGCTGACATGAAAAGTTCACTGTATATCATAGTAATAAATGCCATTTATTACAGCAATGATATTTTGTTTTCTTTTTAATTTATACACATTAAATATTACATACTGTATATGTATGTAATAAAATGTGTATTTCCATTACAGGTTTAGGTCTTAAATTTCATATAAGGTGGTATTAAAAAGGTCTTAAAAAGTCTTAAATTTAACTTGTTCATGTCTGCAGAAACCCTGAAATAGGATAATCTTGTACCATAATGATGTAAAAAATACAGAGAGTAAGAAAATATATTCCATTAATTGTAATTATCAACATGAAGTGCATTAAACATTATATTGCATCAAGGTTTCCCAAACTGGGGTTCGTAAAGGAACTGCAGGGGATTCATGAATTTAATGAAAAGTTAACAATTAATTAAATCATAAAAATGTAAAATTACATTAAATCATTTTAAAATAACAATCAAAATAAAACACTTACTAAAAAAGATTATATATTTTATTTGTTTACCTGCATGGCATGTGACCATTAACCAACGTCAGAGAACCGTGAACATGCAAATATGATACTTAATTATTAAAATATTTATTTTAAAATCTCAGGGCTGCTTCAAGTAAATATATAAGGTGAAAGAGGTTCAAATGACAAAAAGTTTGGGAATGTCTGCATTACGAGTAAATAAGAAATAATGTGAATTAGTGCATTTTAATGTGTTTGAAAGACAAAAGCCTTCCAAAGACATAGTAATTAAATAACCAACTGAGTGATAAATAAATAAAAATAAATGTGTTAGTGTGCATTAGTAGCTGATGCAATGTTGAAAACGCTTCTTAAAACTAAAATGATTTTTATAAATCCAGTTGTCAAATGCTGTGTCTTCCACAAAACTGGACTTTCTGAATGTATATTAGCGATAGGATATTTTAGAAAGGAACATTTCAAAGATGAAAAAAGGAATTAGGGAGAATCAATAAATTATGAATAATTTATTGCTATTGTATGAATAATATGTAATCAATAAAAAAAGTTACTGTAGTCTGATTACGAGTATTTTAAAATGTAATTTACTCTAATTACAAGTACTTAATTTTTGGAATCTG